GCTCTTCATTTTCTGCATTATCGGTCCATGAGTGGATAGGAATGTTTACAGTTTTTCATGGGGATCACAAGCTCTCTAATAAATGAACAGGGACTTCATACTAATTATAAATGCTCAGCCAATAGCTTAGGCTTGTAACTAACTAGCTCTTACAATTAAACCATATTTCTTATCTACGCTCTGCCACATGGTGGTACCTTTTTTCAACATGGCATGTTCATCTTGTTTCTCTCTATCCGCCTTCTTCCCCATGCTCTCATTTTGCCCACAAGTCCCACCTAACCTCTACCTGCCCAGGTATAAGCCAATCAACTCTTTATTAACCAATGAAAGTAATACCTATTCACACTGTACAAAAAGATCATTCCATAGTACAGGAGTGCAATCAATTTTATTTTGACTTGGCACCCTTGTGAAACTCTTTCTTGTCTAACAATTTTACTGCAGAGACTGCAGGAATTTTCACACATGTCGTCCTCTCATCTGAAAATAGCAATGGCACAATTCTTCTAATGCTCTTCCTTTCCAAACGCCTCGTGAACTTAAGGAATTCCAGTGTGCTTGTTGGTTTGTTTCGTCAGAGTGGCCAGGACGTGAGAATAGTATTGTAGTGATAACATGTAGTTATAATATGTTAATAAATGATTTCCAAACCATTAATCAAACACTTTCAACCTTTTACTGAGTGGCATATTGCTTCAAGTGTTTGTGTTTCTGTTGACTCTAATATTCCACTTTGTGGTCAGAAAAGTTGGTTTCTGTTCTGAGAATTTCATCTATAAAAAAACTATTGAGTTTTACCCATGCTTTTTATATTATGGGATATTTATGCATATGCGAATATATCAGATTTAATAATGTTAAATTATCCACAAATTCTTAGAAAATAAAACCCAAGCTTAGTCAAGTTATCTTTTCTATATATTTATAGCTTCAATTATTTGTTGTTATGTCTGAAAATTCACCTACTCGTGATTATGAACAAAATTGAAACTGCTGTATCTTAACTAATAGTTTCAGCATATCAATATTATGCTAGTCCAAGGAAGACACTGTGACATACATCTGCAATTCTAGCACTCAGGAGACTAAGGCAGGAGAATTGCAAGTTCAGTGCCAGATCTGTTCCAAATAAGACAGCCTCATAAACTGAGTTGGGGAACCTTCATTACTTCTATTCTTTGGAATAGATAAAACGTTTAGAATTTTTATCTCACAATTGTTTCATAGTTATCTGATGAACCTATCAGAGTTTGTAGACTCCCTTGTGGGAAGAGTTTTAATTATGGTTATACGTATTTAATTTTCTTTTCTTTTTTGATTCTACTTCAGAAACGACGCACTTTCAGAAACATCTTAATTATATTTGAGATCTTCTCACAATAGACTCCATAATTAGCATTATTATTTATTAAATTCCTCAAAGCCTTTAATTTCCTGGTTTTTATAATCTTTAATACTGATCTTTTATACTTTTTCTCTTTACTCAACTTGCAAAGAAGTGTTTCTGTTTTACTGTCCTTGGCAGAAAAGAAGCAATCAAGTTTATTGGTTCTTTAGACTTTATCCTTTTTTTTTAAATTTCATTGCTTGTTCCTATTGTATTGCTTTTTCCTTATATATACCTTGTGTTTATCCTGGGGCTTACTTTGTTTTATTAGGTTTGATATGATTTTGATAATTCTTTATGTTTAGTGGCCAGCACGTTCATCTTCGACCTCTTTTTAACTACTAAGTTTTGTTCTGTGGTATTTTCACTATCCCCCAGCCATCATTTTCCATTACAAGATTATGATGTATTTTTAGATCAACATAATATATAGATTTTGTATATTATTTTTAATTTTAAGCACATGGTATTTATGATTACTCTTAGTACATTGCTTTGTCACTTGATGGCATTATAGCTGTATCAGTTATTTTTCTGTTGCTGTGATAGAACATTAGGGCCTATTTGAGTTTATGGTTCCAGAGCTTTAGGGTCCATCACAGTGGAGAGGGCAAAGCAACAGGTGGCAGACATGGCAGCTGGAGCCGAACACTGAGAGCTGAGGACTGCCTCTTCAATCACAAGCAGGAGGCAGAAAGAGTGACCTAGGGATAGCACAAGAGTTTTGAAACCTCAAAAGCCTTCCGTCAGTGACATATTGCTTCTAGAAAAGCCCTACCTCCGTAGTCTACTCAAACAGTGCTGCCAAATGGGGACAATGGATTTAAATAACCGAATTTGTGGGAGCCCATTCTCATTCAAACCACGACAGCAGTCATTCACTGGGTTTGTTTGATGGCAGTTCTTTAAAATCTGAAGAAGCTAGCTTCTCTTAAGATGTGTCTACAGTTCTCAATGTTTCTCTGTGAAGAACTTCAGCTACCTAATTCTTTGATACTATACTCCATTTAACAATAATTGATTGAAAGAATTAGCTCAAGCTTTTTAATTAATTATTTTATTTTATATTTTTATTATTTATTTTTATTTGTTTTGGTTTTTCGAGACAGGGTTTCTATGTGTAACAGCCCTAGCCATCCCGGAACTAGCTCTTGTAGACCAGGCTGTCCTTGAACTCACAGAGGTCTGCCTATCTCTGACTCCTGAGTGCTGGGGTTAAATGCATGTGTTACCATGTTTTTTTTTTTTTTGATACAGTAACTACAGAAAATAGATTCCTATTATACTGATCTATAAATAATTACACATATTTTATTATATTTTGAGACTATATTATTAAATGTGTTAAAATTCAGAATTTACATTTCCTGATACATTGGATACTTCTCTCTTATGTAGTGACTGCACTTATCCCTAGTAATACTCTTTTTTAAAATACATAGTATTTGTTTAACACAACTAACTTAATTTTGTTAGAAAATTTCAGAATTTTTATGTAAGTGTATTTAGGAACATCTCATCAATAAAATAGATTACATCTTCCTATTTAATATGGAAATAATTCTGATAGTATGGAAAAACTAGATCCCCAATGTCTAATTTTGTCCTACGACTGTTTACAAGATTGGTTTTGGCTTTTAGCATTTGGCCTTTTATGTGTACAGGCGTATTTTGTTCACATTTAGCCTCTGTGGCCTTTACTGAGTTTCTTGAATCTGAAACTGCTTCCATAAAAATTGGTAAAAACATTGGCTCTTTAAACAACTTTTCTGCCACATTCTCCTTTTCCTTTTCCTATGACAATCTAAGTCATAGGCATGTTGGAATTTTCAATACTGTCACCCACATTATTAAAGCCCTTAAAAGTGTTTCTTTTTTCTCAATGGGCATTTTCGCCTGATGCTTATCTTATGAACTGCCTTAACATCATTCAGAATTTGCATCTGTGTACAGGTGCGAGCCTGCGTTTTCTGCTGCTCTGCTTACTCCCGGTCTTTTCATTCCTCGTAGAGTACTTACTTGCCCTTGGCTTTAACTGAGCAGTTAAAAGCTGCAGTGAATTTTGGCTGCTAATTCTGGCATCTGGCTCCAGTCAGAATGGGTGTCTCTGTTGATCATCTTATCTCAGGAGAGGGAGAGATACACAGCTCCTTCTATGCTCTATAACTTTATAGCATGTTTGGGAAATTGTGAGTAACTGGTAAACTTTTTCATCATCTGGAACTGGTGGTTTTCTATTTGGTTTCTTTTTGTAAAATGTCTAAATTAATTGAAATCAAATGAAAATCTTTACCTCTTGATCTGTAGTCCCAATCTCAGTTCTGATCCTTAATCCTCAAGTCAATCACTCTTTATCTACTCCGTGCATGTGTCCTTCAGGAAACGGTTTATATAATAACTTTGGGAACCAGGAAGGCACTTCAATGGTAGAGTACTTACTTAGCATTCCCCAGGTTCATTTTTAGCCACATCCCAAATATTAGATTCCTTTCACAGCTTCTCTTCATTTAATGATTCATTCCTTTATTTATTTTTAAGATACAGTCTCAAAGAGTAGCCCAGGCTAGCCTCAAACTTGCAGCAATCTGTTGTGAGGTATTTGTACACTCTGTGAAAATGTATTGCTGTGATTGGTGTAATAAAAAGCAGAATGACCAATAGCTATGCAGGAGGTATAGGTGGGATTTTGAAGAAAAGAAAGGAAGAGAAGGAGGAATTTAGGTGTTCGGGAGATACCAACAAGCCATGGAGAGAGTTGAATATAGAGAATGAAAGAAAAATAAAACAGATGAATAGAAATGGGCCCATTTAAGTTTTAAGAGCTATTAGGAACAAGCCTAAGCTATAGGCTGAGTTTTCATAATTAATAATAGGTCTCCATGTTGTTATTTGTGAGTTGACAATCCAAAGGAAAGTCCAATTATAGCAATCCTTCTACCTTAGCCTCCTGACTGCTGGGATTATAAACATGAGCCATCATATCTGCCTCCTTTTGGGAATTCATTCTTTGTGTTAGCCATTATGTGCTGATGTTTTGTTGTTGTTGTTGTTGTTATTTTGTTTTATTTTTGCCTTGAGTTGATGGCTAGTCATGATTCTGTCAAAAAAACATCAGAGCAGTAATAAAAACAGCACATTCACTAACTAATAGTGAATGCATGCTTTGTGGTGACATCAGAACACAGCACATTCTGCACTCTCTGCAGTGACATCAGAACACAGCACATTCACTACTAGTGAATACATGGTCTGATCCTTTCTGGTTTCTTAACTTCATCTATCCCTAGCCTATTAAAGACCCAACATTTCAGGTAATGATGTAGTAAGGTGGTGAACTGGAGAACCTCACAGCCTTTTCTTATCTAGTCAAAGTCCAGGCTCAGACTTGAGGACAAAATGGCAGTTTTGAATTGAGTCATCAAGAAAGGTCTGTCTGAAAAGTGACTTTTGGTGCAAGATCAGAATGAAAAGTATCATTGGGCCAACGTGACCCAAGACATTTCGGCTGCTAAAAAAGACTTCCTTCTAAAATATTTACTTATCTTGATCTTTGCCTCTGAGCAGCTGCTGTTTGACTCATCTAACCAGGATGTTTGGAATTGTCTCACAGGTCCTGGCCCAGGTGGTGCTATTCATGTGCATGAACACAGCTGGGATCTTCATCAGTTACCTGTCGGACCGCGCCCAGCGCCAGGCCTTCCTGGAGACACGGAGGTGTGTGGAGGCGAGGCTACGCCTGGAGACAGAGAACCAAAGACAGGTACCAAATGCAAGACCGTGTTTCAGATGTCACTGAGACAGTCTTTTTATCCTAGCACAGGAAACTTCCTTCCAAACACATCCTGCTTTGCCAGCGTTCTCTCCAACTGTGGGATCCCAGAGTCTAAAAGACTCATGTTAGACTTTGAGTTAATGTAGGTTGTTCTTATTCTCCACATTGTTTTCTATAAGATATAAACACCTCACAGACACCTGTAACTGACATTACTATTTGGGACTAAGGCAATCATTCTCAAAAATCACCAGCACCCTCTTATTTGCATTCCTTCTTTAAAACTATAAATTATTATTTCAGATAATGTTTTCACAACATAGGAATTTAAACTATAAACTCATAGCTGGGCAGTGATGGCTCACACCTTTCATCCCAGCACTTGGGAGGCAGAGGGAGGTGGTTCTCTGTAAATTCTAGATCAGTCTGGTCATATATGATTCTAGGACAGCCAAGGCTACAGAGAAAAATTATATCTTAACAAACAAACAAAAATACTATAAACTCATAAAAGATCCTGATATTTACCAAGTTGTTCATACTTCACCCTGGTTTTGGGGAAGTATAGTACACAAAATAAATTCAGCAAACCTGAAGCCAAACATAGACTAAAGAACAATGTAGACAAAGAAGTTTAGATGGGGTTAGAGAATTGGAGAAATGAGTTTCTGTTTGAAAAAAAACATTGAAATAAATAAGAATTTTAGACATATTGCTTTGGAAGATTTATAGAGCTTAAAAATAGTTTGTAGCAAATGATATGCTTTTCTAGAATGAGATATGCTTTCAAAGGATGAAGATTGGCTCCTAGTACAGCTAATCAGATGTGAAAACTCCATTTATTCCACTGTTTTTGAAAGCAATTGTTAAAGAAAATATTAAGAATGTACTGAAAACCTGCATTAGAACCAACATACAGGCTCCTAAATTTACATATTCCTGGGAGTTGTATGCATAGTGGATGGATTAGCGATACCATAGCCGGCTCTTCTTCTTGCAGTTATGTGTGTACTGTACCACATCCATTCTAAATCCTCACTAATGGGTTGTGACATTCTGCAGCAGCTGTGAGGGGAGACAGATGGCTCCACATTGCAATTGTCTTTTACTCTTTTGTGGGGGGGGGCACCACCCAGCTCCCAAATAAATCACATACCAGTCTTATTCTTTTTTATATATGCCTGACTTCAGCTTGGTTTGTTTCTAGCCAGTTTTTCTTCATTTAAATTACCCCCTCTATCTTTTGCCTCTGTATTTACTTCTTACTTCTGTATTTCTTATTCCGTGGTTGGCTGGTGGCTGGGTGGCTGGCCCCTTCTTTTCTTCTTGTTCTCTCACTCCTTCTTCTCTCCTCCTAGATTTTTTTCTCCTCCTTTTTTCTCTCTGTCTGGCAGTCCTGTCTATCCTTTCTCCTTCCTTACTATTGGCCCTTCAACTCTTTTTTTTAGACCATCAGGTGTTTTAGACATGTAAAATAACACAGCTTCACAGAGTTAAACAAATGCAACATAAAAGAATGCAACACATCTTTGCATCATTGAAACAAATGTTCCACAGCATGAACAAATGTAACAAATCTTGAAATAGTATTCTACAACACTGCATTTTTAAAGCATTTCTTTAGTGGAATCATGGGAAGTCAACGAACCCAGGTCTGTGCTATAATGGATGTATCAGACAAGCTGGGTCCAACCTCTTGGGCCAAGACTCACAGCACAGAAGACACCACTGACCTTGCAGATTCTGCATCAATGGTAGGGAATTCAGAAGAGGAAACCTCTCAGTTAATGCCTAAAAACATTGCAGAACCTCCTTAATAGCTGTTTTATAGGTTCTCTGAATAGCTCTGAGGATCGGTTAGAAAAATTCTCTCCCGAAAGGAAAGCACTTCATATAATAAAGATCTCCAGGAGTGTGTATTATGTTCCTGTGTGAAACAGAGCCATTGCCAGACTAGCACATCAATCTTTCTGGGTGACTTGTGCCAACTCAGAAAAAAAAAAATAAACTCGCCATGTTAATAATTTATGCAGCTGTTGATCCTGATGGTCTATCACAACAAGAACCACACTGTGCGTGAGTCTTCAGCATGCTATTTGCAGTGTTTATAAAATACTGGAGGCACTGATAATTGATGCTTCTTATCCTTAAGGTTCTTTTTCTGTTCTTCAGTCCCAAGCGTTTTATAATCACAGTAATACAGCTATCTAACTGCATGGATTCTTCTACTGCCATCCATCCCTAATGATAATTTGTTGAAATAGGAGCGGCGGCGGGCTGCGTCCCCAGCACCCCAGCCGCCTGCTAGCTTATGCCCGAAATAACAACACACAAACTGTATTCATTTAAAGACTGATTGGCCCATTTCTATCTAGCCTCTTCTAGGCTAATTCTCGCACCTGGACTAGCCCATTTCTAATAATGTGTGTAAGCACCCCAAGGTGTGCTTACCGGGAAGATTCTAGCCTACGTCCATCCTGGGTCTGAGCTGCAAGGGAGAGCAGAGCCTGGCATCTCTGCTCCAGAGAGCAGAGCTGTCTAGTCTCTCCGGGGGCAGAGCAGAGTCTGACCTCACTTCTTCCTCTCAGCATCCTATTCTGTTTACTCCTCCCACCTATGTTTTAACCTATCAGGGCCAAGGAGTTTCTTTATTGCTTAACCAATGAAATCAACAGATTGATATATGACACTCCCACATCAATAATTAATTTATTTTTTATTTGTGTGTGTATGTGTGTGTGTGAATGGACATGTATGTATGTGGGAAGATGCTCCTGTCTGTGTGTGTACAAGGAGAACAGAAGATGGATGTCAGGTGTCATCCTCTGTTCCTCTCCAATTACTACTTTTGAGGCATGTTCTTTCTCTGAACCTGGGACTCACAGTTTTCTTGGTTACTCTGGAAATCATCAAGTCCCAGAGACCAACCTATCGTCGACCCTCTGAGTTTTTCTAGCTTGTTATGTGAGGTCCAGAATCCAAACTCTAGTCTTAATGACTATGTAGCAAAAGGCTTTCTCCTCTGCCAGGCCATCTCTCCAGATCCTTAGCTTATATTTTTACTGAATAGAAGGAGAAAGAAATGTGCCAGGATGACAATGTAAACACTCCAAATGCAGACAGTCCAAAGTCTAGTAGAGTTTTGTCATAGTCTATTGCTCCCTAGTGGAGCTGCCTACACTACTGGGTTCTCATCCTTACGGCAGCCACCCATTCACCACTCAGTATTTTCCGCATTGCATTTGCATGGCGTTAGATAAAGCATATATAAAAATACAAATTTACGGAGCAGTCCTGTTGGTTTGTGGACAAAACCAACTATCTACTATCACTTAGTAGATTATTCGTTGTAAAAATTAAGCAATATATCCTGTAACCTTATAGACCCATATTCACAGAAATAATCAAATACACCTCACATGGTGTTCCCTCCTTCCCCTAGTACCTAAGACAACTGGCTCTGTATCACTCAGTGCCAAAGTGACTTCCCACTGACATTTGGTCTCTGCTGCAGGTTTCCATTATCCCTGGGAACATCCTTTGTGGTAGAAGGGCAAAGGAGTCCAGCGAAAAACACACAGGCTTTTGAATGAGAATGTCCTGGATTTGAAAACTTTGCTTGGTTACTATTTTGGCGAGCTGAGAATAATCTGAGTCTTCTTTTCTCTATCCACAGCAAGGATATAATAATATCCTGCCTGAAAAGCCTCCTTAACAATTTGAAATATTGTGTGCAATGCCTTCTTCGCAAGTCAGTGAAGAGTTTCCATTAGCGCTATTTTGTATAATTATTTATGTGACTCAGCCAATTCAGCTCAGTCCCAAGAGGACTCATTTGGGAAAACATTATGAATTGGCCTGTCTCGTTTGAAAGAAGGTAGAGTTCTTTAGCTGGAGGGTAGGCAGCATGAGGGCTTGCCTTAAGCACGCAGCAGCTAGACCTCATCACCATTACACTTCATCTGTATTTTTCAAAATATTATGTGTCACTGACGAATACATCCCCATTTACCTCTTAGAGCTAATTATGATACTGCAATGGCTCATAATTCTCTACGATGCAAAGGAGGTACCAGAGGAGCCTAAATAACAGATGGCAAATGCTATCTGGATAATTATCCCAAAGGATCCTTACCAGTATATTTTTTTTTCAACTGAAAGTGAAAGCTGAAGAAGCCAGGTTGAACACAAATAGTCACGTTTTACGGGCTTTTTCAAGTATGGGCTTTATCTTGTGGTAGGACACAAAGGGGGTATCTAGATAACTTGTTCGTTCAATCGTAAGCTGACTTATTTGTTGTGGATGGTTTACAACGGGGAGTTCAGCTGAACATTAGGAGCAGAATGTGGGCAGTCATCAGCCTTGGGACTTAAAGTTTATTGGGTAAGGACATCTCCAAGGGTAGTTGTGGCAGTAGAGGTTGGGTCACAGATAACCTGCAAGCATATAAAGAACTTCCTAAAAAGAAACACCGTCCAAACTGACCCATGGATGCGATTCAGCACAGTGAAGTAATGACAAGTACCCCGCCCTGGGCAAAACACATAAGACTATCTTGGAAGAGAACACAGTTTGTAGGTGTAGCCTATAAAAAGCCTCACAATTCTTCACTCAACTTGTCATCTGTATAAACACTCATCCATAGTGTAGACAGAGTCAAGAAAGACTTACTTTTCACTCCCTATAGGGTCTCAAGAATGAGTAGAATTTCAGTTATTTAAGATAGTGAGGATAGTACTGATAGATAATCTACTGATGTTTGGCACTAAGTTTTGTCGTATTCCATTTAGGAAGTTGTGCACTTCTTCAGTGGAACGCTGCCGCTCTCCATACACTGAACATACAAGCCCAGAAGAATGGCATATTAATAGACATGTTAATGCAGAAGGGCCAAATTTCATGGGATCCGACACTCAGATAAAGAACTATAGGTAATATAGCTATTGCTATATTATGTATATATATATTATATTATAATAATGACTGC